TTTTATAATAAACGTTTTAATCACTAAAGTCATACATTACTAAATTCGTCTGTCTTTTATTTCATCTTTTCACCATACCCCACATGCAGGCAATTGAGGATCTTGGCCAGGTACCGATGGATGACAATAGATTGTGTTTTTTTTCCTTTATTCCTGAAAGTGTTTGTTTCATCTACGTGTTTTGAAACTATGTTGTTAGGTGCCTGTTTTCTTAAAGTACAGGCCATTTATCAGATGTGGTGGGGTCAACAGATCAAGAAGAGATTTACTATAAAGGCAGACTGTTCCCAAGAGGACTTTGCTTCCGCCCTATGCCAGGAAGTGGATGAGGCAGGAGGAGAGTACAGGGAAGAAACTTTATTGTGTTTCCCAAGGGAAGGAGCAGGTGAGGCAGGGAAAACACATTTAAGATGTGCTAGTTGCAATAATTTCAGCAAGACCTGAAGTGTAGGACCAAGTTACCTGGTATCTGATATGGAGTGACTAGAATGGGTGAACACTGGCCGGAAATGTTAAAGCCTGGTAAGGGAGATGCGAAAAGTACAGGTTCAGGCTTACTTTATTTGCACACGAAAAGTGTGCTCACAGATGAGTAATTTATTGCCTCTCTGACTAGCTAGTCCTCCGAGAGGTTGGTGGTTGGTGGTCCACGGCCAGTCAGTAAGGAACCAGATATCAAAATATCAGAATAAAAACCCACTTATTACACAAGAAAACACTGTAATGTGCTACAAGTGTTCCAGTGTAGACAAGGGCATGCATTTGTCTGTCCCCTGTCCTCCTGGTGCTGCCCTGATATAACCCCTTACTTTTGAGTTCTATGAGCAAAAACTAGTATTTTCAAAATCCATCAAACCATACATTTACGATTCCATTGCAATGTTAATTTCACAGCATATTAATTTTGCCACAGTTTTTTTAAAAAAAACTAAAAAGGAGAAGAGGAGGGGAAAGGAAATATGGGAGAAAAAGTTGAATGAAACTTTTTGAAGGATGTTAATGTGGGTCCCAAAAAAGTGTAACAGTAACAGGCTCCAGAGACTCCATATTTTTTTCCCTTTCTGTATGGAAGTAGCAATACGTAACAATGAATCAAAGATATGTCTTTTTTTTGTTATCTGCCAAGCAAGCCAACTTGATTATGACCCAATTCAAGTGAGTCACTAAAAGAATCAATCTTACTCTTCCTCAGTTAAGAGTTACACTGAGAGGCTGGAAGCAATATGAGGCTAATAAAGTTCTTGATCCAAACTAAAGCCTGAGTCCCTCCTCCAGACAAATGTGTCTTCAGCAAGCAAGTCACAGGGAGAGATCTCTGGGTCAGACACAACTTAGGATCCTTTTCAACTCTTCATGATATTGTGGAACATCATGGAAATACTTTTACTTCTTTTGAAAAGTATTAAACCACTATCACATTAAACTCAAGGACACAGAGAAAATGATAGCATCCCTTGAAAAATGCATATCCTCAAAATTTAAAAAAAAATTTTATGTACTTTAAATATATGTGAGCCGGGCGTGGTGGGGTCAACAGATCAAGAGGAGATTTGCGTCTGTAATCCCAGCACTCGGGAGGAGGCTGAGGTAGGAGGATCCTTGTGAGTTCAAGACCAGCCTGGGCTACAAACTGAGCTCAAGGCCATCCTGAACTGCATAGCGAAACCCCGTCTCAAAAAAGACAAGAAAAAAAAAACCATATATATATATATATATATATATATATATATATATATATATATGTGATTTCACCAAGAATATTAGAATTGGCTAATTTTTATTAATCGGTTCCAATGAAGAAAAACAGCATGTGAGAGTTATTACAAAGGAAAAAAGTCACAAATGCAAATATTCAAAATCATTGGCTAGAGCATCACCTCCTCACACTGGTAAATACCATAGATCCTATACTGCTTAAAAACAAACCCAAAATACAAACCCATATGTAAATCAACTGATGGGACAAGAAGGAAACAGTAATACAGAATAAGTAATCAGTTAAGAATTAAAGGCGTAGGCAGATGGGTTAAGAACAGGGATAGGCCAAAAAAAAAAAAAATGACATCTTTTTTTCTCCTGGTATATCCAAGCAAACCTTTAAAATGCAGAGAGATCCCCCTAAGCTTTTTTATTTTTTTGAGAAACAAAGAGTTCTAGTACTTCAAATAATGCTTCAGGGATGAATACCCTTCTCCCCAAAAAGCATCTTTTCTAGTCTTCTAGATCACTAGTTTTTAGATATTACTTTCCATCAGCCATTAAAAATTTTAAAAAACAAATACTTAACTTTGAAGGGCTAATAAAATAAACCTAGAGATGGAAAATAATAAAATGTATCCTGATATCATTTAATTGTAAACAATTACTAATATCACTATGATTTTAACACAAAATGAATTATGGAGAACACAATGTTATAAACTTTGTAATATGTGGGTTTTAAAATATTCATTGCACCACATTTTCCTCATTATGCACCAGCTCAGTGAAATTTAAGCACATATCTGAGTGAACACCTTCTGGACCAGAGTAGGTCATCTACCATTCTATTTCATCAAGCCTCAAATCCCACCCACTTTCCCCTAATTTTCCCTAGATAATAGGGGCTATTTAGTAGAATGCTTATCAAATTTCTTTTTTTAATTTTTCTTATTTAATTTTAAAGAGACTAAAACAGAGCACTGAAACAGTGAGAAGACAGTAAGAAATCTGCAGTTGTTACTATATTGCATGTTGCTGTCTTCTAAATAGTTGCTCAGTCAAACTACACAGTTCTTTCAAATCAGCTGTCGGCTTTCATCTGTGACCACACTGAGTTTTTAATTCCTTTCCATTCTCAGGGGGAAAGGTATTCTTACATCTAGATCTGAATTATATTGTCTTCTGCCTCATGAGGGATGCAAAATCCATCACCAACAGCCCGTACTCATTATCAACAAGAGGGGGATTAAACTTCCATGACATTCCTCCTGAGGGATGAAGTGTATGTCCCTCTCCTTGTACCTGGGCAGGCTCTATAGCTGTTGGACCAATAGCCTATGGCAGACATGACACCCAGTAGGTTTCTTAACCTTAAAAAGATTAAAACAGTGGAAGCTTCTACTTTGTCTCTTGGAACACTCTCTAAGAGGTACATGACAGAACTCTGACAACACTTCAACTACAGTGTTGGAGACGTTCAGTCCCAGGTGAGATGAAACTTTCAATCATCTCTGCAAAGGCTCTAGACATGATATCTTAGACCCTAGTGATTGAAGGATCCAAAGCCAAAACTACCTAATGACCTCAGTTAGATTCACATAGGCAAACTGTGTCTGAGCTCCACTCATGCTAATCCATAAAGCCTTCAGGCAGAATAAAATGATTGCTATCAATACATTTTGGTTTAGTTTTTTATATAGCCACAGATTACCAGAACACATTTTGAATGGTTCTTTCTGCCTCCCTCCCTCTCTTCAATCTGGTTTTATTTATAATATATATACAAACATGTTCAAGACTGGCCCCACCTGTCAAAACCACTCATTTTATTCTAAGTGTTTCAAACATACCTTAGACCTTAAGTTTCTTCTCCGTTCCAACTATGGTTCCACCTTTCACACTCTGTCTTTCTGCAGTGTGCATTTCCTTCCCTAGCCATCCCAAAGAAAGCATTTTTGCAAAGACTGATTACAGATTTTGCTAAATACACATAGTCGATCATCAGTTCTTACCTTGCTTGATATTTCTGCATTGTGATCCTCCTCAACACCCCTTCCTCTAGGAAATGTGATTCTCTGGCCTCCTTGATATTACTCTCTCTGGGCTTTCTTCTTATTTTTCTCATTACCCTTCCTTTTCCTTCCTAATTTCTCTTCTTGTTGCATGCCTTTAAATAGCAAGATTTCCTCAAGGTTCTCTTCTCCACTTATCTAGTCACTCCATGCTCCTCACAGGCATCACAGCACCATCTCCACACCATTGCTTCCAATAGATGCTCTGTCCTAACAGCTCTGAATTTGTGTTTCAAGACAGACAGACCTTCCTCTGGAATCAAGGGGGCAGCTCTATCCATGTAAACGTAGAAGTAGTCAATAAAGGAAAAAATAACAGTATGTTCACCTAGCAGCCTTCAGATTTCCATGCTATTCTGCCTCCTGGTTCACCACTCATTTGGGGACTTGACTTTTCCTCCAGCACTGCTCATACGGACTCTACCTACTAATATCAACAATGGGTGTATTCCTCTTCATACTATTTCTAACACACTGCTCAGGATCTCATCATTTATTACAGAATTCTGGCCTCCAGACTCTCTTTCCTTTCATCTTGTGAGAGTGTTCAAAAGCAGAAATGTTAAACTACTGTTGCTTTCATAAAGTCGTTCAGTGGCATCAGGCCATGTTGCCATTTAAATTCCACAGCATGACACTTCCAGGTCTTAACCACTATCTTGCATTTCTTGCCTTTTCTCACTAGAGTTTTAATAGCCATCCATATTTGCAGTTTCATAAACTCACTGGGCTCTCTGGTACTACAGCTTCTGTATCACCCATCTCTTCCTTATAAAAAAAAAAAGAAACCCTCCTCTAACTTTTAAGTCAAATAGCAACTTTCTGTTGAAAGCTCAACTTAGCAATCACTATTTGCCAAAAAAAAGCCTTTCCTGCACCTTCATTCAGTCTTTACATAATTTTCCTAGTCTAGTTACTCCATTGTTCCTTACCATGATGTTTATTAAAACACAATTTCTGTTTAACATAATTTTCTCTTCAATAGCCTATTTATAAGTCTGAGTACCAGTTTGACACCTATGTCAAGGATTTCTTTTTTAGCTCACTCCTTTAAATCATCTTCTGGCATAAAAACATATGCAAAAATATTTATTAAATGACTGAATGAGTGACATTTATTCAGTTGTCAGATTTCTCAGTTTCATTTAATCTTTTAACAATATTACAAAAAGTTATGATTCATGAAAGTAATTTTTCCCTACAAAGGAGAGTTGTACTAATACTTACCTTCTCAGCTTTTCTTTGCTTGAATGAAGGAAAGGAATCTGTTTGCCTTTCTCAAGTTCTGATGATGGAATTTTAAATTCAAGACCAATGTCATTTCTTAGAGTTTCAGAGCTGGAATAAGACAAATATCAGACCATGTATTAAAGTGGAAAACTGTCAGGCAATATTAAAAAAATCAGCACCAATATACTGGCCAAATAATGCTTCTCTGCCTCTTGCTTCAAACAAAAGGGGCAATAAATACCAAAGCACATTACCTTACACATTTAGTGCAAATATTTTCTTGCAAGTATTTAAAAGAATGCATTAAAACCACCATAAATTCAATTACTGACAAAAATTTTAAAAGGTACTGATAAAGCATAAGATAAAGCAGTATTAAAACATTTTGATCTCATCAATTATGACTATTCCAAATTACAGACAGTCCTCATCTGACGATGCTTCAACTGCAATCATTTTTTAAACTTTACAATGGGGTAAAACCATTTCTGCAATTCTGTTTTCCACCTTCAGCACAGTATTTAACAAATTACATTAGATATTCAATGTTTACATAACCCTTTACAACACAGACTTTGTTAGATGATTTTGGCCATTTGAAAGTAAAAACAAGCATTTTAAAAATGTTTAAGATATGCTAAATAGACTAAGATGCTCAGTAGTGGAATAAATGTCTTTTTGACAGTTTCAATTTATAATGAGTTTTTTTTTAGTTAGACATAGCCCCTTCATAAGTCAAGGAGCAGGACTGTATCTACGCTTCATAAAAAAAGATATATTACAAGAAAAAGTATAAAGGATTAGAGGACCAAGATACACTCTCTTCCAATTTAGCCAGAGAAGGGTAAATACTCTCCATTTTAAAATTTGTCATTTAATGGACATTGTCTGCCCCTATCATTTTTCTAGAACTTTGTTAGGAGCCATAAAGTTCTTTGAGATTAAAATCCTAAATAAAATCACAAGACTTGATGCTATCACTACACTATTTAAGTGAGCTCATCTTTGGTTTAACCACATTTAACTGGCTGCCAAATCCCTTCCTTGTTCAAAATAGTAGGTGGTTGCATTCTACAAATTCCGGAAGTGAATGACTCAAAATCTTCACTATCATCAGTACCTACAGCCTCAGTACTTTCTTCTTTTATTTGTAGCCCTCAACTCTATTTAAAACTTCCTTGCAAATAAAATGGAGAGACAAAGACTATAAGGATTGAGTCTTCATAAGCATTACATACTAGCATTGCAAGGACCTGATGCTTAGTTAAACCACCTGTCCAAGGCGTGTCTGAATGCCAGTGCCATTATCTTGGAGGAAGACATACAGGAAAAGACCCAGCAGAGTACACTGAATATCAAGAGATTATCCTAAAAGCTACCGAAGATATATAAATAATCTCTAAATCCTAAGTGTGGATATCTGTAATTGGAGGAATGAGTTAAGTTGAAGGAACAACAGAGAGAAAGCCCAGTGGTAGGTGGATGCAGGTAAAGTTTGATTAAAGAAAGGATTCTACTATTTTTTAAAAGTTTGAACATCACTGCTATACTCTCCTTTAGTGCTAACCTAGTCACTCCTAACAGGGGAACTTACGTACAAGTTGACCTGCACTCCTGTGGTCACACATAATTGTTAATGAAGTGCTTTCTTATACTGAATTGAAACTTTCATAACCTATACTCATGATCCAGGATTCTGAAATACAAAAAGCATTCCTCTTCCACAAAGGGCCTTCTTTTTGTATAACCCTCAGCACTTGAGCTAGTGCTCCACAGTCAGCAAGTTCTCCAGAATTTTTCAATGAAATACACATAGCCAAAATTGCTAATATATGAAAAAAATATAAAAACACCAACCAAGTGAATAGATCAGTAGAAATATATCCCAGGTGTTCACTACAGGAATTCAGTAGGGTTGATCCATGTTCTTCAGATCTTGTAGCATTTTCTTTCTTTCCTGAGTTTTAAAAGAGAACCATTTTAATTCTAAAATCACTAATAATGATTTTACACAGTATTTTTAAAATAGAAAGCAATTTATAGATCTCAGTCTGTGAAGCATAAAACTACCAGACTCAGAAAGCCAAATATTATTTATTCCAGGATACCCTCCTTTCAATCAGATTCTAGTAATTAGCAACAGGTGTGCTTAAAACACATTCGGCTGAGTTTATCAAGTTCCTATTTATAGGTAAATGTCAACAGACAGAAAACATGACTAAGTCTTCAATAGGCAGCTGCATTGTCAAAATACAGCTTCTGGAAAAATTTTTTTGCAGCTGCTCATCCTCGGAGCAAAGATGAGACAACTGAAGAAGGCGTGGTAGAGACCAATAGAAGGATGCTAGACAGGTGACAAGCAGCTGCACTGCTCCCACTGAGAACCACACAGGGTTGCACAAGGACTGTGGCTGCCGTGGGTAGCCATTCTAAAGAAGGACTGTGAAACTGCAGGGACCGGGAGCCAGGGAGGGTTCCAAAGCAAGCTAAGTGATCTGAATATTTAAAAATAACTTTAAAAATTTGGCAAGTGGGAATATCCATTTATTTCTTTCAGTTTTACATTAACATTAATCTGTGTAAAAAAAAATAAAGAAATAAAAATTCTAAAAGATTTCTCACTAGTATCCCAGGCCTAGAGCAACCAAAAATAGCCACCGACCAATACTAACTGTAGAACTTAATTTCAGAATTTAGTCTGTCCTTTCATAAGCAAAGCTAATTTAATTAGTTCGTACTTAAATACTAGTAATAACACATAATACAACAGGTAAAGAGATTAGAAAGGTCAAACTACTTAAAACATTGACACTCATCTCTGTGTCTAAAAATCTAAAAGAGAAGAGATAACCACCTTATTAATTCGAGGAGGTAAAATAATTTAAATGCAAATGTTCTGTAAAGCAATAGTAGTATACAATTTAAGGTTAGTACTCTGGCTTTTGGACATCCATATAATTACACAGCATGACTAATTCCATTTTAATGACTAAGAAATTATGGTTACTAGGCTACCAAAAAAAAAAAAAAAAAGAAAAAATAAAGTGACAGTATTGCTACCAAAACAAAACAAAATAAACACAAATAACAAAAAACTCTATCTACAACAGTACTTTCCCTCTGAAAGTGTAAATTTTTTCATATTATGTAAAGAACATATTTTTTCTTTTAATTAACACTTATTTTCTTCTGACCTGCTTCACAAAGATAACATGTTCTTTATAATACATAGTACTTAATCCTCAGCAAATAAAAGGCATAAAAAGGAAAGCAATTTAAAAGCACATAAACATAGTTCTCGTGGAATTTTCAAGCCTTTGGAAATTTATTTTTTACTCACCAGTATTTGAGAAATACATTTTCCAGTATTTTACCACAATACTCAGTTTTTCCCTTGTCAATGGTTCAGTTACAGTAACATCACATCCATGCCCTGAAATACAACCTAAGAATTTTGTATTAAATATTGATCTTATGACTTCTATTTGAAGAAAAAATGAACAGTATAGTCAACAAGCACATACCTTTAAAATTTTCAGGGATTACAAAAATAAACAGCAAGTCTGTATTTTTCTTCTTGCCAAATCTGAGAGGGGAAAAAAATGCTTAATGAAGCAAAATCACCTTTTAAAAACTGGGATTCAGGATCTTAACTTATTAAGAATTTAACACAGTAATTTTTATTTCTTTAGAATTAAAAATGATATGGAATTTAGTTAAAACACCTCAAATCAGTAAGATGGACCGCATTTTCTTTAAAAAAAGATAAATTTAAATCTTACCCAAATCTTTTTAATTGCTTCTAAGTTTATAAGAAATTTGAGGATGTTTTAAAGAAAAGGGATGAAATCAGCAAAATCCAGAACACAGGAAATTATAAAAGACGAATAACCCCTTTAAAATACACAGACATGCACGCACACACACACACACACACACACACACACACACAAAACACATACACGCACAATTAAAAAGCAAGACAAAAAGTAAAAAAAATAAGAGGGATAAGAAAATTGAATCTTGCTTTGTATAAATACGTTTTTAAAAATCTGAAGCAGCAAAATCTGAATACTAATTAGATGTTTGGACAATATTAAAGGATAAGTAAACTTTCTGATGTGTGCAGTATTACTAATGTATCTTTATTTTAAATCCCTATCTTAGGTATTTATTAAAGTATTTGTGGATGAAATGAGATCATGCTAAGTTTACTTTAAGATAATCCACCTATGGATAGGGCAGCTATGGAGAGAGAGATGAACAGACTGGCAGATGTTGACAAGCATTACAGCTACTTTATGGGCAAACGGAAGTTCACTATACTAGTCTCTCTATTTTAACACACTTGAAATTTTCCTAAAACCTTTTAAAGAAATTACGATGTTATGCTTAAAGAAACTCAGGAGTATGATAAGTCAGCTCAGCCTCAGCATTAACTAAAATGAAATAATTGGGGCCAGAAATTTAGCTCAGTGGCTTAAGTGCCCACCTGGCAAGGATGAGGTCTTGAAAAAAGAAGATTTTCCAAGTACAATATTATTGTACTTTAAACCAAATTTAAAGAGAATAATGATCTGAGAAAACTACAGTATTCTTAAATACCTAAGACATCTTTTTCAGTATATGGGTTATACATAGGTATCACTTATTAAACTAGAAGAACCCCCACTGCATACAATACTGTCCAGCTTATTTAGCTTTTTTAAATGTTGCACAGCTTTATAGTTTATTTGAAAATAAATATATATTATTCTATATTCCAAATTTTATTCTACATATATTTCTCTGTAGGTATCCATGGTGATCCACAGACTCCATGTGGATATCAAAACCCTTGGATAATCCAGTCCTTCATATAAATGGTATAATATTTGTATACAATCTACATATATCTTCTTAAAGGCTTTACATCATTTCTGGATTACGTGTAGTGACTAATAGAATGTAAAAAGTTGTTACCTTGTATTTTTTTAGGAAATGATGACATATTCGGTACAGACACAATAAAAAATTCCATCTTCAATTGGTTGAATCTGGACATGCATAATGTGTAGCCATAAGAGGATCGACAATATATAATTTATATATCTGAGTCATACATACTGAAAGACTATATTGGACTCTGTGCTGGGCTCTGGGGAATAGAGGTGGTTAACAGACAAGGTCTCTGTTCTCGTGCAGTGAATAGTTTCCTGGGGAAGGCAGATGTTAAATTACTGAATACAAATTACTGAATACAATGAAATTACAGCTGAAATTATATCCCACACTATGAAGGAAGTCTCGCGGTCCATGGGAGAACATGGTAGCCATGACCCGCACTGCAGCCTCCAGATAGAAAGGCTTCCACAGCTGGCCAAGAAGTCACTCACAGGAAAAGCAGGGGACAAGGGAGGGCCGGAAGCAACACACAACAGAGAACGTTCTGGGCAAAGACAGCAGCTTCACGTGCACAGACCCTAGGGAGGTAGAGGGCAAGGTAGTTTAAGAAAAAGAAAGAAGTTCAAAAGGTCCTAACATGGAGCCCGTGAGGAACAGAAGCATGAGATAAAACCAGAGAGGACAGGTGAGAGGCCTGAGCTCTGATCCTTCTAGGCTCAAAGAAAGATTTGGTATCTCATTAGAATGGGCAACGGGAATCTTAAAGCTGGGAATAGCATGATTCTATTTGCATTTTAGAAATCCTACTCTGCTTGAGTTGGGACAGACTGACAGGGATAACACAAAGAGACTACAGTTATCCAGGTAAAAGGCTGGTGGTGCAGAAGAAGACATAATTGAGAACCTTCTGTAAAAACAAATAATTTGGAATATTTACTACGTTAATTACTTAAGACAAGCAAGATTGTTGCTAAAATGTGACATTTAACATAATGTGACATTAAGTTGAAGTATACTGGGGTTTGATTCTTCTGTGAATTCTGAGGAGTCTGGCTTGGAAGAGAAGAAAGCGAAAAATACACAGTTGCCATAAAGAAGCAGGAATAAATGGAAGGAAAGACAGCAAGTGACTGACTAAACGTGGAGGGAGGGAAGGCACATCACTGTATGGACAGAGAACAGCAGTAAGAGAACGACACCTGCCACGTAGTACTTCATATTTTTAATTAAGTGATAAGTAAGTAGAGATATGATGGGGCTATGGATAAGAGGATGAGGAAGGAGATGGCAAAGGAAATGGCTGAAGAAACAGGACCTCTGAGAAACATATGATTGAGTGGTTCACAAAAATTACTTTATACAATCAAAAAGGGTAAGTCCCAGGGCTCTGCATTATAGAATTGAAAAAAGTAGATTCTTTACTTTTAGAAGTCAGCCTGTTTATTGTGTAAAAGCATATAAATTGATGTGACTGACAATAAAATGTTAGATTGGGACAGATTTGTATGCCCTGATGACTTTTAAGCTTTACATCACAGTTAGAGCACCTGAATTTTTGTCATTAGCACAGAATCAATGACCAACAAAAACACTGGGCCTACTAGTTAAATCCTAATTGTGGAGCTGTGCAGAGACTTCGGCAATCAATAGAGTTCTCAAAATCCAATAATATGTAATCTATTAATAGGTGATTTCTTACTGTTATGTTTTTTTTTTGTAGTTCTGTATTACATGTACCCTTACACCGCTTTGTTTTGTTCTGTGTTTTTCTCTTTTTCCTCTTAAATAAAATTTAAAAAAAAATCCGATACTCCAGTATTAAACTCAGCTTCTCATACACATTTTGCCCAAAACAATAGTTTCTAATAAACTTTCCAAAAAACTTTCTAATTTCCAGTAGCACCAAAGATGTCTTCTTTCTAATGAATTAATATTCCTTAAAACAAACTTGAGCAACACAGAAACAGAACAAAAGAAAACAAAATCTCTTATTTACCCCAACTAACATCCCTTCTCTTCCATATATTGAAATCAGGCTCTGAGACTTGATGAGTACTTCACGATTCAAGTGTATTGTGTTTTAAAATTTGATAATTCACTTGGGGACAATTGATTTCTCCTTTAAATCACACTGAATAAATCTCAGGATACTTCCTGAAAACCTACCCTACCTGTGAACTGTGGGACTGACACACTTTCTTCAGCTTCTGTCTGCCTCTAGCCCTCCTGAGGAGCTGGGGCCAGCCACTAGCTCCAGCCGCAGAATGGCTGGCCTCACTCTACAACAGACCTAGCCCTTGTGTAATTAGTCACATTCCCATCTCTGAGACACAATACCAACAACCACCACATAAAAGAGGAGAGGTTTAATTTGGCTCAGAGTTCAAGGGATTCAATCCATGATCCAATGCCTCTAAGGCAAAAACATCATAGCAAAAGGGCATGGCAGAACAAAGCCAGGAGCCAGGAATCAGAGCTGGGGAATAGTACCAGTGAAGGAGCAAAGGACCAAACACAGACCCCAGGCCGTGCCTCCTTGACTTACCCAGGCATACCGACAAGTGTGCTTTACCAATCTCCTGGGCGGATCCAAAAGCCAAGTGGACACTCACCCTAACTGCCACATCTAACCCTTTGTCAACTTCATTCCCAAACACACCACCTAAAATCACACACTCTCCAAATGAAGACAACAGCAAGTACACATAATTCTACCTAACATATTACAACTATCCCAGGGCTGGGGATTTAGCTCAGTGGCATAAGTGCTGGCCTGGCAAGCACAAGGTTATGAGTTTGATCCTCAGTACCAAAACCAAAAAAATAAAAATACAACTATCCCATGTATAACCAGAAATGCAATACATCTTTCTCCAAATTTCCAACATTTAAAACATTTTTCTCAAAATCCAGGTCAAGCATCTTCTCTTGTAAGACAAAAGGCAAATTATTAACTATGAACTTCTATTAAAATAGCCAAAAAGGTACATAATATCAATGAGTCAAAAGCATGGCATAAAGATTCCTATTAAAAAAGGAGAAATGGGGGTATAAGAAAGAATCACAGCAAAGCAAAGGTAAACATTAAGTCCTATAGCTTCATATTGAGCACCTGGGACACAAGGTGGTGATTGTGGTCCTACGCCTATGGCCTTGCTGGACCTATCTGACCTCTCTCTTGAGCTGGATCCACTCGTAACTAGCACCTTTCTTCCACAGATGTTCCATTCCTAATTTCCTGGGGTCTCCACTCTACCGCTGGCTTCATCTCACAGCTTTACATTCTTTCCTTTCAAGAGCCTGGTCTTCCAGGTCTTCCATATCCAGACAGAATCTACCCTGACCCCACAACTCTTGCAGAAGCATGCTAGTAAAATCAGCATCACATGGATGATGTGAAGGTCTGCTGTCATCTCAATAAGTAGCTCTTTCCCGTAACCGGCACCCCTGGACCACAGCTACAGCAGCTTCTGAGTGTCTGGACGATTGAGCACTGTGAAATAAACCGTGGGGAACTAATTCCTTATGCAGCCCTTCTGGAGCAGGGGACCCAAGGACTTTCTTATCAAATCAAATGTTTATACTTTTGAGCATGCAATGGGAGGGATTTTGCTGATTCCTGTGATCCTCTAAAAGGATCTTTCTTCTTTCTTTCTGTACAAGGTACTGTACTTGGTTCCTTTTTAATCATGCTAACCTCTT